CAAGGCTTTGTGTTTTTGTATAAAATTTTAATTCTGATTTTAGCTGTTACCACTGTACTTCTAGAATTTTAAAACCAGAAAAAGTCTCTCAGACATAAACATATTCTCTCCCATGTGTATTGGTATCATTTGTTTGAGGAATTTGCAGAAGTTGTCAAATATAACCTTTGACCCTTTGACCTTTTGAACTTGACAGATGATCACTTCAATATGATAAAGGATAGAACTTTGAAATTGTAATATGAGGTAAATATGAACCAAATCTATTGAGATGTTTTAAGGATAAAACACTGAATAGGATGCAACAGACATGAGATGGACGTATATGGTTAACACTAAAACCCTCCCCCCTCCCCATCCCCACCATCCTCCCCCCTACCCACCCAATCAAAAGGCAGAGTTATAAGAAGCACCGAAAGTTAAACCAAGCCAAAGATGATGTTGTTTCATCGTATCAGAAAAGTATTTTCTTCCAATTCAATATACAAAACTTGAAAACCAATTAAGAACAGCTATAGATTTGGGGATGGAATATAGAAAGATTGTTGAGCATTTGAAAACTTCAAATAAATCTTCAACACAATTTCTGAACTTTAATGACAATTTATTAAAAATTTGAAGTGCTTATGAAACGTGATGTGAAATAGCACAGTACACTTATGTTTCCAAGGAAACTAAAGTGTAGCGCTCTTGAATATTGAGTCTGTTATTAAATATAATTAGGTGATAACTAGAGTTTAACATCAAACCTGCAATGAGGTCATATACTTGTTGCTATGGAAATGCTCTGAAATGAATGGGTTTTTCTATATTCTGCCAAAAAGCAATTATGAAGATAGGTATTTACAACAACTTGTTAAGTTACAGACAAACATGTTTCTTCAGTATTTTGAGTGAAAAAAAAACAAAATATGCCAATTCTCTTGTTTCTTGTTTTTGGGTCTTATGTTTTGTTTATTTACAGAAAGTCACTTTGCCTACTTCTACGAATATATAATGATAATTTTTCAAAATTTGTTACCGAAGGACAAGTTTTTTCTTGTCGTGTGGATGCGGTAACTGCAGCCATGAATTCTAAATCGTTGTTACATTTCCATCAAACTGTAGTTTGGATTGTTGAAAAGTTTCTAGTGTTTTGGGATTATGTAGCTTCATCTTTTTCTTCATTCCTTTTTTATTGGTGCACAATCTTTGTGACTTTTAAAAACATATATATCATTTATACCAGGCATGTGACGTCATTAATTAGTAGTACAGTTATCTAATAATTTCTACGTGCAATTACGACTCCAGCCAAACTTTGCCGATCTGTTAAAGAAACTTGAAGAATTTTTTTCCTGTTTTTTATATAAGCTTCCCCATAAACCAAGTGTATAAGATAAATGTATATGTCAGAATATTGACTACAGTCACTGTGAGCGAATAATGATGATTAAGGATGTGGGTGGTGAAGAAATTCATCACAATTACGAGCCGACAACATTTCCTGGTTAATTCTTCTAATGTGTACATTCCCTGTTACCGTTTTTCCAAAATAATACAAGTTCATGAAAAAACATCGCAGCTAATTTGTAACAGAGAGAAAATTAAACACATGTATTTATCTAAAGCATGCTCTGACTGAACACTAGCGATTATAATTGTCTTCCAAGCCCGTTCATCAATGGGGCGTTTCTCCTACTCATGTTTGAAATAGAAGCAGATTACGTAATCACGCAAACAGAACATAAGTGTTTCCTCTACCACAAGACTTTTAGTTTGACTGGCTATGAACATTCCTACAAAAACGGAAAGTTTAAAAGTGATAGTTTTGCACTGGATATGACAGTGATGACCTGGAGAAATTTTGGATACATTAAACCAAGACATTTTCTAAACTGGAAAATTATCAGTAGACATCAACCAATGAGCCTAATGTGAAGTGAGTGTTTATAGCCGTAGATTAAACAGTTCTCTTTAACAGGTGGAAGCTCTGTGTAAACTACACTAGAAACTCGTTAATTTGATCGTGGAATGTGCTGTAATTTTCATAAATCTGCTATTCTGTACACTCAGAAAAACATACCTTTAGATCTGACAGGATTTTAATCATTATTTACCCTGGAAGTAGGTTTAACACAACTTGAAAAGGCAAGAGACAGACTTTCATCCAAAACCTCTTAACAAACTGATAACACAGAATTTGTTCCAGAATTTCTTAACATGTCAGATACCACACACTTTCACCAAGGACCTCTTAACATGTCAGATACCACACACTTTCACCAAGGATGTCTTAACATGTCAGATACCACAAACGTCCACCAAGGACCTCTTAACATGTCAGATACCACACACTTTCACCAAGGACCTCTTAACATGTCAGATACCACACACTTTCACCAAGGACCTCTTAACATGTCAGATACCACACACTTTCACCAAGGATGTCTTAACATGTCAGATACCACAAACGTCCACCAAGGACCTCTTAACATGTCAGATACCACAAATGTCCACCAAGGATGTCTTAACATGTCAGATACCACACACTTTCACCAAGGACCTCTTAACATGTCAGATACCACACACTTTCACCAAGGACCTCTTAACATGTCAGATACCACACACTTTCACCAAGGACCTCTTAACATGTCAGATACCACACACTTTCACCAAGGACCTCTTAACATGTCAGATACCACAAACATCAACCAAGGACCTCTTAACATGTCAGATACCACACACTTTCACCAAGGATGTCTTAACATGTCAGATACCACACACTTTCACCAAGGACCTCTTAACATGTCAGATACCACACACTTTCACCAAGGATGTCTTAACATGTCAGATACCACACACTTTCACCAAGGACCTCTTAACATGTCAGATACCACAAACATCAACCAAGGACCTCTTAACATGTCAGATACCACAAACGTCCACCAAGGACCTCTTAACATGTCAGATACCACACACTTTCACAAAGGATCTCATAATTAGTTGGTAACACAAACTTCTACACAGGATCTTTTAACAAGTCACTAACACAAACTTCCATCAAGGATGTCTTAACATGTCAGATACCACAACACATCCACCAAGAACCTTTTAACAAGTCGGTAACACAAGCTTCTACACAGGATCTTTTAACAAGTCGGTAACACAAACTTCTACACAGGATCTTTGAACAAGTCAGTCATTAACAGAACAGTTGCCACAAATTTTCCAACTGATTTCGATTCAGAGGAATACTCTTTCAATATTTCCTAACCAAACTTGTGTTCGTAACAAATAGTTTTGTGTAACCTAGACATAACATCAAAGCTTAGGACAGCAATCTGATTGGTGTAATCAAAGCTTAGGATAGCACCAATCTGATTGGTGTAATCAAAGCTTAGGATAGCACCAATCTGATTGGTGTAATCAAAGCTTAGGATAGCACTAATCTGATAGGATAAAGAATTGTTAGACTATGACTCCATGAAATGAATCAAAAGGAGGATTTTACCTCAGTGTGTTGGTAGATTGTATAATTAATAATGAGGTCATAAGTAACAGCCACTAACCACTATTCTCTGCTTGAATACACTGCCAAGACATTTACAAATTAAACCATCATATCTACAAAAAATTTCAATTCTAAATTACAGCTATACTCTGCTTCAATACAAAAATACAATATCAAAATAATTTTGATTCCAAATTAGAATGCGTCAATTTAAATTCTCCCTTATATAGCTAAATCGTCCATAAATCTTCTAAATCAATCTAAAAATGTGTTCAGTCCACCAGAAGGTACAGCTTCTGATGAACATGAAAAAGTCACACATATTACAAAACAACTCATTAATTTGATTACATAAAACAGAATATGCTTTTCCAAGGATTAATCTGTAAAACCTACCACTATTTTTACAAAGGAAAAACATAAGTATTGCGACTACTCATGACTTTCAATTTATTTCATCTGATATTGTCCAATATTGGTTTGGGGCATTTCCATCTTGCTTAGTACAAGTTGCTGAGTTGATTATTCAAATCAGCATTATAATTGTTAAGATTAAAGCCGTGAACAAGCAAAAGACACAAAACTGGAATGATTTAACAAAAACATATCTGTTTCATTTGTCATGCAAAAAAGCTGTTTAAGATAGAAAGGATATTACGCTGGTGTCAAAATAACACAGAATTTCTGAAACAAGTTTCATATTTTGGTGTGTCACAAGTCTTTAAGTGAGAGACATTAAATCATTTCACTGATTCCGTATTAAATACTGTACATGGACACCAGTGTAAGATTCTGTTTATCATATAACTAATAATTCTGAAATATAAGCAAAAATTATGTTTTACCAACTTGAATTTTTCCAACCAGCCTGAGGTTAAATGTCCTTCATTGATCATTTCCACAGGTAGAGATAACTAAATAAATTTCAGGAGGCTAGATTAAGTCTGCTAGAGTTATCCCCCTTCTACTGCAGCATTGCTACAACTTGAAAACTTGTCCACAAAAAATCTCACCAATTTTTTTTTTATAAAGATTGTTTTCCAACATAATGAAAACTTCAATAGTCAAAATGATACCAAGAAGCAGGACACCATTATTTGGCCCAACGGCACATTTTAGACAGCATGTTGATCAGATCTAACACGCCAGTTTCAATATACCAAATACAAAGTTCCAGCCTTCTTTACAAAGGTACAGAATTTGGACAAAGTTTGTCCATGGTGACAAAGCTATAGATATTTGGTCTCAATACCAATTTACCATGAAATATGAGGGTAGGACTTGAAACTGTGATCATCAAGCACGAGGACTTTGCTGTCTTCTCTAAAATTTGTAGTTGTAACTGGTTTGTAAACAACAGTTTACATAATAAAAGTAAACAAATTTACAGTAAATAATCTACCTGTACCCATCAGCCGTGACAATTTGTATAAACAAACTCAACTAACCATGCAAAATTTATGTTGTAGAAAAATCATTAGGTGTGTATAAATATAGGGGGTCTTACCTTGATCTGTAATTTGGCTGTATAGCTGTCCTGAGCGCCCGCAGTAGGCGTGAGGGTGATACTGTAACGCCCCCCATCGGTAATCTCCTGAGTCTCACGGAACCAGCGAATCTTGGGAGTTGGCTTGGCCTCAAGGTTACAGGTCATGACTAGCATTGTCTTTTCTTGCTTGATGGTCGGCTTCTGTAGGAAGTGGGGAGCCTTTCCTTCCGGGGCTCTGTCAACAGGAAGCACACCGTGATGCATAATTACGTTTTTTTTTTTCATTCAAACACAACAAAGGTGTAAGTAACTGTTTACAGATTTTCTCAAGGCCATTTGTATATTTATTTATATTACAGGTTTTCCGCAGATGGGTGTAATTTTAAAAAGTTATCAAGCAAGCAAAAGGAATATATTTCATTAAAGTTTGAAGGTGTTATTTACATGTTTCTAAACAGTAAAACTGTCATTACTCAGCAGATATTTTATAGATAGGACACTTTTTAAAATGTAAAAATTTTGAAATATAATAAAACTATACTTACGCTGCTTTCTTTCCTATAATTGAAAACAAAAAAGCAAAAACTTAAAGTTTTGAAACATGGGATACCAGAAATGAAGAGAGGTGAGTATGTTTAATATGTGATTAAAATCCGAACTTATTGACACGGTCAAAAATGAATCCATTTGTATAGAATATTGGATATAAAGTATACATAGGAAAAAAAGAATATGACACGCTCTGCATAATGTATTGACGGTTTAGTTTTAGTTAAAGAATAAATTATAAATGTATTTATATATGTTGCTACATCGCTAAAGTATCTGTCTAGCTACTGATGAAATAACATTTATACTTGTATTTCAAATTGGATGTAATTTTGTTTACTCAAGTATTTCTACTTTGCTAAAGAAATCTAATTCTAAGGATTTATTCTACAGCTTACAGAATGTGTCATTTCCTACAAGAAAATCAAACTTGAAAATGTGCAAAAAAAAAATAGAAAAAAGCAAAACGAAGTGTACAAAAAGTGGAATAGTTCAAAGGGAGACAATCCATACATCTTATTTTGGAGATAAAAAGGAAATTGATCTTGGCTCAATTTCAAAATAAAAGTACATTTTGTGGGTGAAATAATAAATATATATAAACAGAAAGTAAAACAAATAGAAGTGATCCGATTACTAAAGGAGGAGACTGAGTTATATAATTATATTATATGGGAGGCTTGAGCAGACATTATACATCATCGAGAAATGAATGATGAAGGTTATAAATTTCTTTTATAGCTGAAATATTTCATACTACACCACATAAAATTTACACTTTTAATTGATTGGTTTGTGTTTGTAGTAAAATCTTTTACAGAGATATCGGATATATTAGATTAATCTAAATATTCTGACTTAATTCACATCATACTGATGTTTATTCACTTATAAATCATTTTAACATATGGACAATCAACAATGGAATCAGAAACACAGTGAAAGGACCAAAAATGGGAGGAAATCTTGGGATATGACTTCAATGGATGTGAAAGGTTTTAGAAAGCTTGAAAATATCAAACATTTTTGTACTCATTAATACAAGTATATATAGGCCAGTGAGCTTGTACAATTTCTTACTGTCTAATATGTGGATATATTTAGAAAAAAAAAAATATCAGAACACATGACAGCCTTCATTTCCATTACAATACCATTACTGTTCACTAGTCCTAATAAATATATCACCTCTGACCTTGAATATCAGAAAAAAATCATCTAAACCATGAACACTTTAACAAACTTGTAAAATACACACAACAATATAAGATAAAATCTCGGCTGTTTGTCAGTGCATTAAATGTTGAGAAGTAACGTTGACAACACTGAAATAACAAAAAGGTATACTGTCACATAACAACATCGAATAGCTATAAGGATATATAGGTGTAGATGGGAATGGTATAAATTTGTTTATTCATCATTACACCCAGGGAAAAACATTTCTGGATTTGGACCTGCTACAAACCATGCCCATGAGAATTTTACCCTTTTTTTTTTTTAAACTAATATTTAATCCCTGCTCAGTAATAAGCCCATTCTATTGTTACTTCAGGAATATAACCTAAATGAGAAAGTATTTTACAATATTTTCTTTAATTTCCTGTTTGTGCTGAACGATGATCCATCAAACACACTGATATATCAAATTAATTATCTCAATTGAACTATGATTAACATTCTCCAAAAAATAGGTATATCTTACACTTAATACAGACGTTCTAAAAACTGTTTAATTAGCTCAATGGTAAAAGTAAACAAAAGTACGACATTCTGTTTCATCAATTGTAAAACAGTTGTTGGAATAGAGATTTATAAATTCTCATGGGCTTGATGGAGCAGTGAAGGTTTGTACACCGGGGTGGGCTTCCTTACCTCCCATCATTACACTTATACCCTTAGTTGTGGTCACTGAAATACAATGGATCTCCAAGTAATCAAATTAATCATTGTCGATGCTGTAACACTTGTATCACTGCCACGATTTCACAAGTTACGTAACACAAGACATGATAAAACTCATGACAGCTTCACAGGAAAGTTACTTAACACAAGATGTCAATAAACTTTAAACATTGGCTTTACAGCAATGTTACTTAACACAAGATATGAATAAACTTCAACAGCCTAACAGCAAAATTACTTAACACAAGATGTGAATAAACTTTAAACAGTGGCTTTACAGCAATGTTACTTAACACAAGATATGAATAAACTTCAACAGCTTAACAGCAAAGTTACTTAACACGAGATGTGAATAAACTTTTAAAATGCCTTCACAGCAATGTTACTTAACACAAGATGTGAATAAACATTAAACAAAAGCTTCAAAGCAATGTTACTAGACACAAGATGAGAATCAGCTTTAAACAACTGCTTTAAACAACCAAAGCTACTTAACAAAAGATTTGAATACACTATAGGTATCTTCACAGCAAAGTTACTTATCACAAGATGTGAGAAAACCAAAACAACAGCTTCATAGGAAAGTTACTTGACACAAGATGTGAATCAACTTAAAACAACTGCTTCAAACCAAAGCTACTTAATGTAAGATTTAAATACACAATAGACATCTCCACAGCAAACTTTTTACAAGATGTGAGAAAACTGAAACAACAGCCTCACAGGAAAGTTACTTGACACAAGATTTGAACCAACTAGTAATCCTAGAGTTCGTTTGCACACTAAATCAAATTTAAGTCACAGTGTTATATAGAATTTGATGTGGTACAAATCATCCTGTACATTATATGTTCGATACTGAGAGTGCGGAACATATAAAAGTTTGATGAACTAAACATACAAAACCAGACCACTGCATGTTTATACATCAACATGAATGTCAGTTTGCCATGATGGAACGGTTTAAAACTTTTTTTTAAAATTAATTGTTTTATTTAAGGGAGCAGTTTTCCATGTGATCCATGTTGTAGATATCATTGAAATGAACCCCAAATATGGAGATATTTAAATCAACTCTCACTTTTCAAATGCATGAACCCCAAATATGGAGATATTTAAATCAACTCTCACTTTTCAAAAGCATGAACCCCAAATATGGAGAGATTTAAATCAACTCGCACTTTTCAAAAATGCTTTTAAAAAAAATATCTTTCTTTTTTTCCTTCATATTAGTTTAACTTATGATTTCTACCTAAACCTTGCAATAGCACATGGCAGGTATCCTTGTTACAATGTACAATACAAACCTTCAAAGTTGAGTGTGATGGTTGCGGTGGACTCGCCAAGGCTGTTCTTTGCTACTGCCTTGTACTCTCCGCCATCTTCCTTGGCAGGGTTGGATATTTCCAGACACACAGTGTAATCGTTCTTGTTGGCACTAACTGTTGTCTTATGGCGCCCACCATCCTTGAGGATCTTTGCACCCTGGTGCCACACAATTGTGGGCTTTGGGTCGGCAGTCAACTTGCATTCAAATACAATTTTGTCTCCTGCCTGTTTGATGACAGGTTTCTGTGTAAACATCGGTTTCTGACCCTGTGCTTTCTTTTCATCACCTGTAAACAATAAAAATTGTTTTCTATACAAGGAAAAGGAAACAGATAACAGGCTGATATCTAGAAGTATATGATATTTTCAGTGATAATTAAAAAAAAAATTGCTTACTACAATAACTCAAACCAGGACAATGTTGTTCAACTTGGATAAATCAATGACAATGAGGATAATGGTAACTTGGATAACAAGTTTAATTATCACAAAATGTATTAATTCCCAAAATATATCTTAAATAAATACGTCAGGATTCATTTATTATTCTATTGAAACCAGTAGTACTGATTTTATAAATATTTTACACAGGGTACTGTCAAACTATACTACTTTTACTGACTATACACACAGGTTACTGTCAAACTATACTACTTTTACTGACTATACACACAGGGTACTGTCAAACTATACTACTTTTACTGACTATACACACAGGGTACTGTCAAACTATACTACTTTCACTGACTATACACACAGGGTACTGTCAAACTATACTACTTTCACTAACTATACACACAGGGTACTGTCAAACTATATTACTTTCACTAACTGTACACACAGGGTACTGTCAAACATTACTACTTTCACTGACTATACACACAGGGTACTGTCAAACTATACTACTTTCACTGACTATACACACAGGGTACTGTCAAACTATACTACTTTCACTGGCTATACACACAGGGTACTGTCAAACTATACTACTTTCACTGACTATACACACAGGGTACTGTCAAACATTACTACTTTCACTGACTTTACACACAGGGTACTGTCAAATTATACTACTTTCACTGACTATACACACAGGGTACTGTCAAACTATATTACTTTCACTGACTATACACACAGGGTACTGTCAAACTATACTACTTTCACTGACTATACACACAGGGTACTGTCAAACAATACTACTTTCACTGACTATACACACAGGGTACTGTCAAACTATATTACTTCCACTAACTATATACACAGGGTACTGTCAAACATTACTACTTTCACTGACTTTATACACAGGGTACTGTCAAACATTACTACTTTCACTGGCTATACACAGGGTACTGTCAAACTATATTACTTTCACTGACTATACACACAGGGTACTGTCAAACTATACTACTTTCACTGACTATACACACAGGGTACTGTCAAACTATATTACTTTCACTGACTATACACACAGGGTACTGTCAAACATTACTACTTTCACTGACTATACACACAGGGTACTGTCAAACGATATTACTTCCACTGACTATACACACAGGGTACTGTCAAACTATACTACTTTCACTGACTTTATACACAGGGTACTGTCAAACATTACTACTTTCACTGGCTATACACAGGGTACTGTCAAACTATATTACTTTCACTGACTATACACAGGGTACTGTCAAACTATACTACTTTCACTGGCCATACACAGGGTACTGTCAAACTATATTACTTTCACTGACTATACACACAGGGTACTGTCAAATATCCTATTACTGAAAAGATTGACAAGTTCTAATCACATGGAATTCCTCACCATGTCTATAGAATATAAACCACTTACACAGATAAACACTGATAAAGAGGTTGATGTGCTTTTATCAAACCCTGTTTCTATCTGATGGTGTAATTTGATAAAGTTACTTGAAAAAGTGCAGTGACTCTTTACAGCGTACTCCAGAATGTGATAACAGTTGATAGCAATCTATTCATGAAGAGAAATGCCACTTTTTTACCCATTGATATGCTCCCCGTAAGTATGTTAAGGACTATTTAATATCTCCATCTGACACAACCTCACTTTAGCCATGAAGTGGTCATCTAGTCACCTTAACCTATACTCATGAGTATTGAGAGGTTTTCTACTTACAATTCAATTTTCTGATTCATTTAATCGGTACAGAGGTGGAGGAGGATAATCGTGTGATGTAGAAGTATTTGACCTAATTACAGATAAAAACACGGGGATAGCTTCAGGTGAACAAGTGCATCAGTTAACAGGTCTGACATGTCGGATATCCTGTCAGATAATCTGCCACCTCTGGTATTACAGATCTGTGACTTTCTAAACACAAGGAAATTATCATCCTGAAGCATCAGTATATTTTTTTGCGTTCTTAGATAGTAAAGAGAATTATTTTTATTGAAATAATGACGATGATGGCTGAAGGTTTCAAGAACTTTCACCAACTTGTTAAAAAGGAGTCAGTTGATACCTCATTATCACAAGCAGCACCTCTCAATAAACCTTATCAGCTAATGTTATCACAAGACCCAGCGAATTAGTTACTGACAAATAGAGTGATTTCCCCTTTTACGTTATTATTAGATCACTAAGTGCACTGGACAAGCTCCACATTCCATTTCTTTCAGAGGATCTAGAAAAAATCACTTATGTTATCCTGTTTACTGTAATTGTTATTTTTTAGGGTTTTTTTCTTTATTTTTTCCCCATTTTGGAGGAGAGAATAAAAGTATGTATAACAAGCACCATGAAAATAAAGATGATTGGGAAATTCCTCACCCATTTCATGATTTCTGAGTAAAATACTTTTTCGTTTTACCAAGTGTTAAGTAAAACCACTTTACAATTGTTAAACAATATAAAAGATATAAAACAACTGTTTGGTTACAATGTACGTACTGTCAAAGTTAAGTCTAATTGTCGCATTGCTCTCTCCGAGAGCATTTTTAGCTGTAACTCGGTAGTTTCCAGCGTCCTTAGCATTAACTCCATCAATTTCCAGTACAATGAAATATTTCTTCTGGTCCTGTGGAGTTTTGGTGATTTTGATTCGACCTGAAATATATCAACAAAATCAGTCAAAATACATTTTGTATCGACATGCCCCTAGATATAAATATATCATCTCCATTTTTCGGGGTTAGAGGACAGGTGTGCTTAATCAGTATTGCTGGGTATTATCCTCTTGTCCCCTGGCTAGTATCTTCTTCCCTGAACAATTTAAATGTGATTGATAGTGTTTAGGGTTAACTGTCTTGTCGAAGGGAACAACCATGTCAGCCTTTACTGATCTATTGCTAACGAACTTACGATGATATAGGGAGCATCGAAAACACCTGAGATCCTCACCTGAGCTTACTAGGTTCTCCCTGATTGATGTGACCCTTGCACTTAATCAAAACAAATAAACAAGCTACTCTACTTTACTAATCTGTCAATCCTATACTTAACCATTACACTTACAAAAAAGGTCAGAATTTATATCTTTATTTCCACTTCAACCTTTCTGTTACTACACATTCACATCTGAACATATTTCATATTAAAAGTACTCCCTGTAGAAAGTTAAATGAAGTGTGTTCCTCCTGAGATTTTCTCAACAAATGCATTTATAAGATTGCAAACACAATTGTATAATAATAAATGGTCAAACCAAATGCAAAATTATTTTAAAATTATTCAGTTCATTTACACTGTATTACACTGCTGTTTAGGATATGAATTAAAGTTCAATCACATTCCTGTATTTAAAACAAAAAAAAAACAAATATACAGTCACTTGTAGCTGTATTTATCCTGTCATTAGCCAACAGATCAACATATAAATTGTTACAGAAATTTAGAGGTGGGCCTCTTACAGGAAAATTTATCTAAGATTTTTATTAACAGGTTTACATACATGTGGGCCTATTAACAGGTATGAACTTATTGCCAGATATATACGTTGGTTTAACGATCATTTAATAATGAACATGTAATGTAAGAAATCCATTTTATAAAACATGTCTACAGAAATTAAAATGTACAAAACAGGGAAAAAAACCACTCTTGCAAACTATCTCAACTTGAATCAAATCCAGCCAAGTCACTGGCATGATATTCCACGGCTCTACCAACTGAGCTAAAGTAGCATGCTTAGCTGTCAACTGAGTGACAAAGATCATATTGAACACTATGTTCCACCTGTCCCTTTTACAACTATAATAATTTTTATTTTTGTCTCAGTGCAGTAGCTTTGGGATTTATCTCATATGCACAATAATTAAAAGGGGAGATAACGTACAAAGGGAGATAACCTACCACCGGCTTTGATTAAGGTATCATCCCTAAACCATGTGATCTCAGGAGCAGGGTCTGCAGTCAGTTGACATTCAAACAAAAGTTTGCGTCCATTGTCTGCCTGTTTAGTAACTGGTTTCTGTATAAAATTTGGAGCGATTCCATCTTGTCTGAAATAAAAAAAACTTGGTTAGTAAAACACGAAGCTATTACTGCACAGATTTTTGTGTCTATCATTAACAGAGCAAAATATTGCTAAAATAATTTCGGACTTGAAGCAAAAGTCAGTAGAATTCACTTAATCTCTGACTCTATTCACATCTCTTTAAAGAAATTGCTAGATATGATTTCAAGCAAACATCACATACATAAAGCACAATCAATGTAATTTATTAATGAAACAGAAGCAGGGAAGATAATAGCTACAGTTACAGGGACACGTAGAAACAATTACCGACTACTGATAGCAACAGCCTATAAATAGTCTGGGTGATATTCCAGGAGCAAGTTTAGGGTGGTGTTGAGAAGATATCAAAGCCCACACACTGGGTAGTGTTCATTGAGTTACACAACAAAGCCATGTGTACTTGTGGAGATCCCACTCACTACCATACATGGACACTGCCCTGTTCTTCCTCCAACTACATACAGCTGTACCTATAAACTGGCCTGTATATATACTGATAAGATTTTAATGCCCCCAAATAATAGAAAAGGGGCCAGGGGCATTAAGTACTTGCCCCAGTTCCTCCATGCAGCTACCTGAAATGTTACAACTTTTCTCTGAAACTGTGCATCATTAAGTCTTCACATTTGATATGTGTATTCATCTGCCTTATTTGAAGGTCACTGTGACCTATATCTTTGACCTGATTTGATTTTGTTTAGACTTAGCATTGGCTTTAGAGCTAGTATTTTTTCTGTATCTGTATCTGTACACCAAGACTTGACACTTCACATGTAGAAGCACCATGAGTAGTAATAAACTACTGTTTTATTTGTAGGTCACTGCGACCTATATTTTTTACTCGGTTTGAATTTTTTTTTAGACTTAGTATTAGGATAAGACTTAGTCAAGTAAGGATATACCAGGTTTGGATGGTGGCAAAGTCAATGACCTGCGACCAGTATTTGGTAACTGCCCCATATAGGCCTTGAACGAGACAACCAGAGGTGGAAGGCTATTGACAAAGATGGTCAGTCGCTTCTCACCACCTGGCCATAGTATCCCCGTTGTGTTCCATTTCACATCCTATTTCTTAATCCTCAAGTTTCCAATATCAACACCTACAACAACGGTTCTATGTGTACTCTACGATAATTAAGACCTGGGCCAAAGCTACTCATACAAAGCTGGCCCTAATGTACACTTTCAAACCATTACATCACTCTCATGGCCCTCCCACATTCTCTACTGGAACATTTACCAAAATCCAATTTTGCACCTCAAATATTACGGCTGTCTCTCATCATAATGTGTACAAAGGCATGTAAAAGCATTATACAGCACCGTGATACAAATTTTTCACAAACAGGAAGATGGCATAACACAAATAAGTAATCTTATCTACTGGAAACATTGAGATAACCAGATGCCATGGTACCTTATCGAGAAACAGATTCATCCCAAGATGTAAATCTGCAAATCACTGTCATCCATAGTCTAGTGTTCTTTCATAAACGGAAATTTATCTGAATTCACGTCAGTGAAGTATGAGATACCAGCATTAGAAACAATTCATAAATTGTCCCTAAGTCCCTACACAGGAAAATCAGCCAAGTTGGAAATCTGGTCTGCAGGAATATATCTGTTGATAAGACTATATCTTGAAACAAATAGGGAAAAAAATACAGCATCTTGAAAAAATCACTCCACTTCTCTAACAGCTGAGATAAAGCATTGTGTTAGGTTATTGTCAGTGTAAACTGGTTCTTATGGGAGAAAAACATTATTATTATGTATCTACGAAGTATTGCTATGCTTTGATTGGTTCAGCAGTAGTCAAGAGAAAAAAAATTAAAAATATGAAATATTAATTAAAATTGAAATTAAAATTAAATATAAATACTTTTGAAATGATATTTCATGAAATCAATTATTCCACTAAAAGCTTTATTTTTAAAAAAAAACATGCAAAACCAGCATTTTTTTTCTTTCTTCTTTTTGAAGTTTTTCTTTTTCAAAAATGTGACAGTTTCTGATACTGATTCATCCTATACTGACCTACCACCTTAGTATCATCCTTGCATAAAACATGTTGTATTAGATTAGACAAAACACATATAACCACACAGGTGCCCACATTTTTAGCCAGGCAATAGTACAGCTGTCTGGCAACAGGTTAACCTTAAATGAGTTGATTACCATTGGTCTAAGTCGATCACGAAAGCAAACTAATTTTCAAAAATACAATTTTTTTAAAAAGATATTTCTCTTTAAGATACTCTTTTACACAAAATGATGATATTTTTAAAAGTTCCTAATTATTTCTTGCTGAATTTACTTGCTTGATTTTGTGAAAATTCATGACTTCAACCTGAACAGATTCTGTAATTTCAGGTCTTTGCCCCAGCAGACAAGAAAATAGGTCAAAATAATTAGTTATTTATTGACGAAGTATCATGTATTCTGGCAGATATTCAAGTTTACAGTTTATGGCCACAGTTCTGGTTAAAATTTTACTAAATCACAAACAAATGGTATGGAAAATCACAACATCTAAAATGATTAATGGGACTGATCTTGTTCACTGAAACACTTGTTACTAAATTGGGCATTACGATTTAACAGCAATTTATCTACGCTGTTTATAAATAGGTTACATTATGAATGACTTCCTGCCCTCGTTTGTGCACTCTAATTGCATCATGTAACCCCCAGGTAATCTGATACACCTGATAATTACTTCATTTCCTAAATTTCTGAACAGTTGAAATCGGCACACCTGGAGAAAGAGTTAACTGGATAATCAACAACCTCTCACTCTACCAGTGAATACAGTATATTCGACAAAACCTTACAAGTATTCACTTGCATTGAATATAAGTAACATATAAACCCCAAAATAAGCTAAAATTAATCCGTTAAGGTGATGAAACCAATTACCTCCCGATTAACAGATGCTAAAATTATGTTAGAGTACTGAAGTGGCTCAAAGACTTCGCAAATGTAGAGACAAAGTGTTATTCCGTATGTAAAATTGTTCATTTATAGGTAATTTACAACCAGCAGCCATGAAAGGCATTTATCATTATCAAATAAATAGTAATATATTCAATGTTACAGGAAACAGATTACAGTCCAAAAGTAATCATTTGTTGTTTAAAAAACTGAAACCAATTGCAGATCATTCTGTAGACAAAACATTATAAATGAACCGTACAATTATTGTTTGTTTGTTTGTTCTACAATTACACTATGGGCTTGTAAGTCTTCTATCTTAGAACTTTTCAGTGTTAATTCTATCTCAGCAGAAGAGCTGGTAAATTTTCCATCTCAGAAAAAATCAATTAAAGGTTTATTTATCTAATGTTTATACAAGTAAATTGATAAACATAAAAAAAAATTTGTGTGTGTCCTACATTGTCTCCTTTCATTGAAATTTGTTTCTTTAAGAAAACATTGAAATGGATTTTTGAGGGCTTGTTTTCACCTTGGTGTAATTAGCACACTAATATCCCTGAAATAGCTCCTCATCACCAACATCCAACATGTAAAGGGATCACAATAAGGGAGGGGCCAAGCCTAACATTAATTCACATTTCCTGTCATTTATCTAACATCTAACAGATCAGGTCTGCCAGGTCAGCAAGAAAAAAAATCCAATTAACATTTTCATTCATTAGTGAAAATCTTAAATTTCAATAGTAAAGAACATATTGCAATGGCATAGACAAGTGGGAGAAAAAAACTGGAACAGACATATCACACGTAATATCAGCATTGATTTCCCTGTTGTATGCGATATTACTTGCTGTTCATAATTACTTGTAATGACCCAAGGTGTCCTTGTATCTGTCATACTGCAAGCCTGTCACCTAACCATACAACAAGAATTATTTGCACAGATGCCTTAATGCACTTCATGAACATGTTGTCACAAAATGAAGCAAATTATTTACCGACTTCTCCTTGTTTCTTTCCAGCTTCTTTTTCAAAACTCCCTACCTAGAGAGAAGCCTACCACATCCCCAATCCATTCCCATACACATAAAATTGCTTGCCTTCCAATGATGCATCACCTTTATGTCAGTCCTATTGGCAGCTTTCCATTTAGCAGAGGAATGGATAAATAATATTAACCTAAAGTGATGTACACAGAAAAATCATTTATCTACACAAAGGCATGAATGTATGTGCCATCCTATGCCCAACAGGTCACACAACTTGGATTTTACCAAATATTGCAACCCGTAAATGAAAATTCCCAGAAATATACTACAATGTATTTAATATAGTTTTATCAATGAATGACAGTCATATAACAACACTTGACTGTGGTTAAATGACCTTAGGATTGATAGGATGTTAGTTCCAACCACTACTGTACCATTACATCCAGGTTAGCCAAAGTACAACTATACACTAAGCTATTTCGCACAGATTACAATTAACTTCCATATCCTATCAGTAATGAACAAATATGAAATCACATCATGATGCGCAAGAGTTGTATCCCTTCCAGCAACCTCGAGCATGAAAAAAAAATGAGACATTACTGTCACAAGTATATCTGACCCAACAGAAAATAATGTTTATCAACCATCAAAAAATGTCTGTAGATAAAAAAAATTTCATTTCATATTTTCACATATTTTTGCAATGTACGATCATGAACCATTCAAACCCTGAAAATAATGAAATATGGAAATGGCCAGGCAACTGAAATAGGATACATAGGACTAACGCTTACTGTAGTCTAATGGATTCTGTTTATTACTAAATAGATATAACAACACTCTAGTTTTAGTGTTTGTTTTTCTATATATATAACCTCAACTGACCTCTACCATCAGATAAATAATCAGTATGTAAACCCTGTAGGTAAACCATTTACTAACATAACATATTGTACTCCAGTAGCCAATCAAAAAGAATTTAACATATCAGTACAATCAGAGTTCTATACACCAAGAAAATTACTTTACATGAAACAAAAAAAGGCAATAA